CAGGACTGGATTTCATTTTCATTTTGATTAATTGGACAGGCCCAACTTCAAGTAATTTCTTAATTAATCTTTGATCTGATCCAGGGATTCACCACTTCTTGAACTTCACAATCTTGAACAGACATTCAGTGTTGGTGTCGTAAGTAAAAAAAGTGTGTTGCTTCTCAGTACGATACTTGAGAAGACGTTTTAATCGGTCCAAGGTTTCAGCACAGCAAAAAATAAATTTTAATATTACATCCAAGAGGGTGCCCTTCAATCATGTTGAAAATCTCATGTTATTTTTATGGCCACAAAAATAAACAAATGCACTAAAAACAGCGTAATGTCACATCTTATTTTCGACACGATTGAAGTGCATCCACTTTGATGTGATATTAAAATTATTTTTTACTGTAAGCAAAAACACGGCATTCACCTCGACGGCCAATTTGAAGTGAAAACTTTAATTTAACGAAGTTTCAAAGCTCCGTGCGAAGAGCATGGAAAACGGAAGTCGTTACCGCAATATTTCCTTTTTGGCATTAAACCGAGAATGTTTAATGGTATTTTGCCTGGATGATGGATCATTCTCATCATACTTAAGTATATCAAATTGATTGCTCAATTGAATTTCATCAGAAGGGGGATCAAACGATTGCCCTTTTCTTTTGCGCTTTTGTGCTTCTGCTGGATGTTTTCAAATTAGTTTTTTTTTTGAAGATTAGTTAAATTACAGTTTCATGTTCTTCTTCATCGTTTGTTTAAAATAATGTAAATTTTTGCGGTATCTAGTGCACTCGTTATTAGCGCTAGATGTGGCGTAAATTTACAAGATATTTCATGAGAATTTATGCACAATTTTATATAAAAGCTTTCGAACCATTTCGATGTTTATGCCAACTATAGCGCAAGACTAAACAAAGGGAGAATTTATGCGATGGTTAAAATCCAGAATGATTTTCTGTGTGGCTCTTTCAAGAGTAAGATAAATCTAATACAATGGAATATACACATAAAATAACTGCAAAAATCTCACAATTTATTGGTTATCGTCAAACAACAGTTTCAAAATATTCTTATTATACAGTACTGGAAATAATAAAGTATACACCGTGTTTTTTTGTCTCTTCAAAATTGTTCAAAGAGCTCTAGCTTTTCAGTAGGTGCATCAGCTTCGAACTTCGTCCCTCATAAAATTGATTTTTTGTTTTAAACTATTTCGAGCATTCACGATTCCACCCTAAATTCATTGTTTTGATCGATCATTTGCGGTCTTATGTATGACACTCTGCTTTATATAAATAATATAGAAGATCTGGGTGTACCCTCACCAGGAAACGTCACTGATATCAGAATTATTTTCTTTTTACTTTTCAAAAAAATCGGTTAATTTTGCAATTCATCGACATGGATTTTCATCATATCCGTTCTTAAAATACTCGTATTATAGTGTTTGTGAAGCTTTTTGAAAACCAGAACCCATCATCTTGCATTCTTAAATGAGGCTATTCGTTAACCGTACGTGTTGGTAGATGCTGATATAAACTTTGGAATTTAGGGATATATTTCTACCAATGAACACAAAAAATTAGAGCTCATTGGGTTCATTGTCCTTCAAGGAATAACAATTTGAAAAATGGTAGTCAAATAGGATTTTTTTTACCAAAACTGCTAAAACTTTATACAAATTCAGTTCGATAGTTCGATAGATAGATATTCGTTTCCAAAATTTGTATGCAGCTCTTTGAATTGTTTTAGAGACACACAAATCACGGTGTATACTTTATTATTGCCAGTACTGTCCTTTAAAGTGAACATTTTATATGTCATCTGATGAGATGAAAGTATAGAGTTGATAGTTCCATTATAGTAGGGCAGTGTGAATTGTCGGTCAAGTTGGACATTGGAAAACCCCAAACGTGACATTCGATTTTACTCTCTTTCTGTATGTTAAACATAACGTCGGACATAGCGCATCATTGTGTAAATACAGCGCACTATGTCCGACGTTATGTTTAACGTACAGATCGAGAGTAAAATCGATTGTCGCGTCTGGGGTTTTCCGATTATCAACTGGAACGATAATATATATAAAGTAGAAAGCGAGCAAAGGAATTGGTGATCATCCTTTTTGCCAGTGGTGGCGGGAGGAAACACCCCCACTATCCCTAATCAACAGATGTGTTTGGTAAAGGGGATGCTCGACCCGATTCGTATCTTCCTCAAAATTGTCCTTTGCTCGCTTTATAATATCTATATACAATTTCCACACTGCCGTACTATAACGGAACTATCAATTATATTCTTTCGTTTTCTCATCTATCGTATAAAATGTCCATTATAAGTCTTATATTGACGTTAAGCATCTGCAACTATATAAATCGTTAACTCCATACGTGAATAATAAAAAAAAGTGCTTAGTTAAAACACATTTTCTGATTAATAAAAATGTTATGAAGATTTGTCTGAAGCAGTTTAATTAAACCGGTGAACATTTTCATGGGAAGGGTATATATACACACTTAGAAATACCTAATTTTACACGTGATGGAATCCATCTTTGACATAAAGGGTGAGACGTAAACTAACATGTCATGTAAAATTAAGTGCTCCGAGACTGAAAAGTTCAGTACTCGACGAAAAGTATGTTTGATTGAGCTGAATTGCGCGCCTATTACGACTCAATTTTATGTCAAAATTGACGCTCGTATATGTCAGTCTCAGCGCACCTAAATTTACATGAATTTTTCTAAGTGTGTACATGATAGAAACAATAGACAGGGAACGGGAATCATACGTGCCATCTCCGGCTTGATAATACCATAGAGGTAACTCTAAGACCAGAAGGTCCCGAAGAAACGTACTCAACTTTTTTGCTCAGCTTTGGTACTCTCTGCGGTTCAAAGCTAATCGATGCACCCCTCGAAACATAGTAATATTAGCGAACCCCTCATTTTATCTGTCAAACTTTCATAGCGAATCAAAACAAACATAGCGTAGTACTAGAATTTAGACTACACACTTAGAAAAATCCATGTAAATTTAGGTGCTCTGAGAGTGACATATACGAGCGTCAATTTTGACATACATTTGAGTCATAATAGACGCGAAATTTAGCTCAATCAAACGTACTTTCGAACTTTTCAGTCTCGGAACACTTAATTTTACATGAAATGATGGGTTACGTCTCATCTTTTATGTCAAAAAAAGGATTCCGTCACGTGTAAGATTAAGTATTTCTAAGTGTGTAGCATGGGGTACGCTTATAGATGTACTTGGTACCAATAGGCTAGCCAAGTAGTGAACCCATTTAAAATCGTTAGTTTCCACCGGTTGGTAATACCATGTTTTTACTGACTGGGCTATCTACCCAACAAACATTATAAACGGAATAAGAGCTTATTCAGGCAAAAATATGCTTCTTCAGCTGAAAAATTGCTTATTTCAAGAGCAAATTTTCATTATGTCGTAAGTAACATTCGCACCAATCCGAGAAAAATAAAGTTTTGTTTTGATGACCGAAAAGTTATTCCTATTTCCAAGTAAACACATATAATCTCATAGTGATAGCAATGTTTAACATATTTAGCAGGGTTTTAATCATACAAATGCAAATCGCTAGCTTTCATGCTAAAAAATACTGGTTTTTGAGTCAAAAGTTATTATGCGTCGTTTGGTGGCCCCTATTGTTACTTAAGTCAAAGTGTATTCACCAGGATATTCGGGAGAATTATCAATTACGTCTCCTGACGTGCAGCCCATTCATCATTTTAGGACTACCGAAATCATCTTAGCAACAAACAGTTCGATTTATTCACTTTAATAATGAGAAAGCGAAACGACGAACGTACACTTTTCACGGGTTTCTCAGCGCTGTTACTTAAGTCAAACGGCATCTCCATAGAAATTGGGTGACTTAAGTAACATCGAAAACTATTTTGATCGGAAGGTGATTACGTCGAAAAGCAATTTGACTGGTAAATAAATTTAAAAATGGCATTCGATCCTATATTCGGACAGTATAATATAGTGTAATAGCAGGAGAATCGATTGACACTGATAGCTCGACTTTGTTTACCTTTGTTACATTCGACGTAATGAAAATTTGCTCTTGATTTAGCCTTTAATCAGCTCAAATTGTTTGTTGGGTAAGGCCTCCATTTAAAAACATATATTTTAATAGAAAACCTCCCGCCACACAAAGGCTTTCTGAGTGGACTGTATCCCTTAATAAACAAATACCATAAACGAACTGTATTCCGGATGTTAAACTATCCCACAAATGGTTCGTATCATACCCCGAACACGTCGTTAAGCTCTTTTTTATTTATTTTTTTTTATTATTAGGGTCTTGCATGAATATTTAAATACTTTAATTAATTATTTTTTCAAGCATACCTTTACTAGGACAAGTTTGCTTAGAATAAATGTATAAGGATTACTAAATACGATTCTCATTAAATGAACACTTTAATACATGTATCAACAAGCAATCGTTACAATTATTTAGAATTGATTTCCCTTTTCAAATTTAAAGCTCGTGTAAATAGCTCACGTTTGCCGACGGTCACGTTCTGTAGTCACACGTGAATGTACTTGAATGTGGACACGGCTGAAGAATCAACCACTTTCGACCAGAACAGAACATTGCCATTAGCTTGGCTTTATTATTTGAATATTTTAATTGCGGCCCCACATGGTGCTGATGCTTTTCCGATTTTCAATCATCTTCTCACGGTTCTATCTATATGACCAGGGTTACAATAACGAGCGCTGCTGGAAATAGCAGTTTTTAAAATCGTAAACTCATTTAGCTTGCTTTTATGAGCGGACATTTCACCAGACTAACTTTTATTGGTCTCTCAGGCGTTGTCAACTGTTCTAAATTTTAAAATAGGACTCTGTTCAATTATTAACGTAACTATCTCAAACGTCTGCCACAACTAATTTTTCGCATGGCCGGAAATAGGCTGTTTTTAAACATGCTGTTAATCATACAATTTCACCTAATCACTAACCACTAGTTTCAGGATTGGCACAAGTTCTTCTTTACTCCGCGTCACTGTTAGCAGATTCTTAAGAATAGCCAATTTTCTATTCACAGCAACTGTAAAACACTTGCCTTTATTTTCCCTTTTTCCAACACAAAGCACAAAACAAATAACACTCCGATCCACTGAACCCTTTTGGCTACTAAACGGCAACTGGTGTTTGTGGCCTTTGGCACAGGATCAGCCTATTTCCACGGAGGCTGTGGTTCAGTTGTTTCCCTTTCGGTTGGCACGAGCGTTATGTCATTAGCAGCATTGAAACACACGTATTTATAAAGCAACACGCCGAAAAAGGAGCACCTTTTTCTTCGGATACCGTATCGGTAGATGATGACGATGTTGCTACACTGTTGCTTCTTCGTCTATTTCAGCGAACCGCATACCTTCATACCGACAATATCCCATGCGGACTTATGCTGCTGCTCCTGATGGAAGTTGCCCTCCCGAGAGCGTAGGTTGCGATTTCTTTTGCACCTTAGCCACCGTGTAACAACCCAGTGGCAGTGTCTCCCGATGCAGGAGAAGATGGGTGACGCAGCAAAAAAGATATATCCTTGCAACACTTAATGATGAGATGTGACGATCATCAATGGTTGTGCTACATCCAAATATCATCACTCCAAAAGCGCGCCACTTTAGCTCTGTATTACAGACAAGCGCGCCAATTTCTTGTCGCATCCTTGTGCAATGTTTCAGGCCGCGTGTGCTCTCCATGTTAGCGTTTTCCATCTTCCCAAGCAGGGTGATGTTGCAGTTATTGGGGGTGGAAATATGTTGGGTGTTGACCATCAAGTGAAGGATGCATAATACGTCATTAGAGGTGTTAATCGTGGAACTGTGTTTGTTTTAGTATTCTATTTCAATTTGATTACTTTTCAATTGTATAGAGAATTGATTACATCTATAAATATAGTATAGATATTGAGTTTTCTTTTTGTCGGCTGATGTTATCTGTAATGGCAAAAAAGACAATTGACACCGTCGTCAACCAGAGGTTGCACAGACTGAACACATAAAGGCCGGCGCACAATAGATACGTTTTCAGGTTTTTTGACAGTTAGCCCATGTATTATCTGTCAAAAAACCCGAAAACGTATCTATTGTGCGCTGGCTTTAACACTAAACAACGGACATCACACAACACCGACTGGAGTAGTTTTTATCAAATGAATAACCCTTAATTGTGGATTTCTTCTTGCCAAATGTTTTAAATTTACACGACACCAAAGTGACTACATATAGGTGTTCTAATGTGTCAAATTCATGATTCAGATCAGCCATATTGGATTTCTGTATGGGACAGCGACGGAATTTGTTTACAATTTGCTCTAAAACCGCACTTTTCCCCACCGCAACCTCCTCGCTTATATAGTGACAAAGTTTTATCACCATGTATATAACCACCGTGCAAGACACTACGATACAGCTTTGTCACTATATCACAGGTTTAGAGTAAATTGTAAACAAACTCGGTCGCTGTTCCATACAAACATTCAACATGGCTGAATCATGAATTTGATACATTAGAACACCTATATGTAGTCACCTTGGTCTCGACCAAGCAGATTCATTGCTGGCGTGATAAAAAGAGATTAGATGTATTGACGAAAACATCATTGCTTTCCGTAATTACTGCCAACAACTCAATCGCCAAACTCAATTTTAAATATCGTGTATCACAATTTATCTCTGTCATTATGGCACAAAGTTGGTCTTAAAGAAACACAAAAATTCACCTTATGTTTTTGCTATATTTCATGGTGAGATAGACAAAATATTTTTACATGTAATTTTTTTCAGAAATCTATGGAAAACACAGATTTTCTTGGATTTTTTATATCTTTTTTGAATATTTTTAGAAAAGTCAAAACGTGCCAGAAAAAAATCATTTTATTTTGGGCGGTAATCTTATCTTTATTGGAATAGTTAGCACGTAGTATCTTCGATCTAAATTCAGTTCACGCCGAATTTTAAGTGGTTCGATATGCAGCAAAGTACACACTAATCCAGCATTTAGGCTCTGAACCATTTGGTGGATTATTTTAACTTTTAGTTAAAATTTGACAGATGAAAAGTTATCGATGAACCCTGCTATCCGAGCTTTGTTATTTCTGACAGACAAGAAGTTAAATTTTGACAACCGTGGGTTGAATACCGGTCGATCGACAGCACGAGGATTTTCGAACATAGAAAATAACTTTCGAAATGTCACTTTTAACCACGAGTTAAATTTAACTTGGCAAATGGTTCACAGCCTTAGTTGTTCGGTAGTTTTTTGTCTGGTCAGCAAAATAGCCACCTTGTTTTACCGACCACGAATTGTAAAACTCTAACCTGTCAATTTTATTCCCGCCGCCATTTTAGCTTCAGTAAAATCCGGGAGCAAGTGTTTAATCGCGCAGTTTTGTTAAAATTTTAATTATATCATGACGGAACTGAGAAAGCACTTAGGCTGTGAACCATTTGCCGAGTTAAATTTAACTCGTGGTTAAAAGTGACATTTCGAAAGTTATTTTCTATGTTCGAAAATCCCCGTGCTGTCGATCGGCCGGTTTTCGAGCCACGGTTGTCAAAATTTAACTTCTTGTCTGTCAGAAATAACCATGCTCGGATAGCAGGGTTAATCGATAACTTTTCATCTGTCAAATTTTAACCAAAAGTTAAAATAATCCACCAAATGGTTCAGAGCCTTAGTGTCTAGTGTCAGTTGTTCTAACGCCAGCGCCATCATGTTATCAAAGAGGGTTTTTGAGTGGGGAAGTCACCGTTAGTGGCGCTTAAGTCGAATAAGTTTTTACAGACATATTGTTCGAGCCTCAACGTCTGTTCTCTGTGGGAGCACGGAAAAAAGATGCCGATTCATTTGAACCATTCATAGCGCAAAGTTATCTGTTGCTAGGATATGAACGAAGCTATTTGCACATTCTTTCTGATACTCTTAGTCGAGACAGTTCATCAAATAGGATGTTATGATTTACGGTGTCGAAGGCAGTCTAGATATCCGTATACACTGCATTTACCTGTCTCGTCCATTACGCCGATGCAAGTCGTTGTGAATTCGCACAGATTAATTTCTTTGGATAGAATGCGTACTGAAAAGGACTGATGTAATTCCTGCACGATCTGAACAATACATCTTTAACAATGGTTGAAGGATAGCTTAAGTTTGTGTATCACAGACTCAATCATCTCTTTTGAAATTTCGAAAACATCGATAACGTCTTTCGCGACTTCATTGATAGTCATTACCGTTTCTTCTGTTGTTGGAGCACGATCTACGAAGACGCTCGCAAAATGTTGGGAGATTAGATAGCACTTTTGCTGTGCAGTGTTAACCGATACGTCTCCCAGATGTATTGAAGTGGGTAGACCAATTTCATTGAGTTTTGAATTGACAAAACTCCAAATTCTTCTTGGATTCCGTTGAAGATCATTCTGTCTTCACTTTACATAGCATTTGAACAGAAAGCGATTGTATCCACGATATCAATTAAATCGGCGTTTATAGAAAGAACATCTTTGGCGGCAGTAGAATTTCAAGGAACTTATTCGGTGTAATGTACATAGACGGACATTATAACAGGCAGGTTTTTTTTTCTGGCAGGGTCTGCTGTTACGGTACCACTTGAGTGATACAGTTCAAAAGAATTATATTCAAATAGTTGGTAGCAGTATCGACATCACGATATTGGGAAACCTCCGACCAATCAACCTACAGCTAGTTCGAGACATCATAATTACTTCGGTGGAGGTCAATCGCTTCTAACTCATAACCTTCTTCATATAGAAGAGGCGGCAGGCATACCAAGAACTGACGATTATATTTTGTACCAAGGTTCACATCGGCCATGTCTCGGGAGCCTTTAAGGAAGTGACCAGAATTTGACATGAGCCAAAATTTATCTTGCAACAAATCATATGGCCTGGCAAGCACCGGATACCACCGAGAAAGTGGCCATAATCTGAAGTAAACTAAAATCACATATAATCACATCAACATTCATATACATGATTATTTTTACCGGGCATGATCTGCACAGCAAAAAATAATGAATATAACATGACGTGTAAACCAAAACCATTTTAAATTTACATCGCTTTAAACTATGTTTTAATTTAATTTTACATTAAAAATCATGCACATAATAAAAACATGATGAAACTCATAAAATTACACGTTTATTCGATTAATTTTCTCCTGCAGTGTAATATCACCACGTGATGTAAAAACTTATCGAAGAACATCGGATTTTCAACGATAAAGCCTATAAATTTACATGCTCGTGTAAATTTAAATCAACAAACATTGAGAAAGCTAATATGGCGGACGGACCGATTATTCGATCAGTTTTTTCTCCGCTCGGTTTATTTTGTATTGTGCGCTCAGTTTTGGTTATGTGGAACGATTTATCGTACATACGCGCGTCCACAAATAGAAAATGGATGACAGACAAAATAATGATTACAGCGGTTTTATACAGAGAACACTTTTAGTTCGTGCAGAAAATCAAAAATTTGGATAAGGAGAGAATAACATTCAAAAATGCGCTCGTGGTTCCTTTTTTCTCCTGACTGATCGTTTTGATGCAGCGGTGGAAGTGTAGGGTATGTACTGTGTCGTAAAGGCGGGTTTTTCCACGTGGGTGATAATTCCGCGTTCTTGAAAATCAGTTCGATTTTATGAAAATTCGTACAAAAAGCCAAAAGCGTGTAATTCTAAATATCCTGTAGAATTACAAAGTGAGTCCATCTAAAGCTATCCATGTAAAATTCAAGAGACGTTTAATTTTACATGCATGTACATTTCAAGTCGTGTAAATTTAAAAACCAATTTAATTGTTTATGAATATGCATGCTCTTTTTATGTGCATGGAAATTCGTGTAAAATTACAAAACAATTTCAACTGTGCATGCAAATTCGTGTAAAATTACAAAATAATTTTAACTGTGTGGGTGCTCCCTGTCCAAAGTGGACTATTCACCATCGTCACATCATCTCACCGTCATGATCTTATCACCATTCCAAAGCAGCAGATGAAGTGGCTGCGCCAGCTCAAACAGCCTTTTTTTTTTTTTTTTTTTTTTTACTTAAAATGATCTTTATTTCTTGTGTATGTGTGGTTTACATTTATGAATTTTTCAAGTGACACAGATGCGTCTTTTCAACTTTAGTTCATTTGAGATTTTAATTATTATTTACAGTTACTAGTCCTATCAGGCCTATTTTAAAGTATGACCACCTTGGTGGAGCTCAAACAGCCTGCGCCGGGTGACTTTAAGTATACAGTAATGA